GAACAAATTCTAGCCTAACCTAAGAACTCCTAATCGTCCAATTCGTAAGATTTTTGGGTGTATCTTTTGTTCATATGAATATAGTACAAATATAACAAAACTTGAACCAAGGGCTAATAAATGTATTTTAGTGGGATATTCTGCAAATCAAAAGGGATAAAAGTGCTACCATCCACCTTCAAAGAACTTGTACATCTTAGTTGATGATATCTTTCATGAACCATGATCTTACTTTTCTACTCCTCATCTTTGGAGGGAGAATCAGACCATTATATCTTTCGTGTACCTTGTATCATATTTTTCATGAAATCATTTAAATAATTTTCAATTTCTCACGGGACTTTCCTAGTAAGCCTAAACAATATTCTCAATTTAATCACACTATATGAGGCTTTATCAAATGAAAAATGGAAACAAGTCATGAATGAAAGAGAAAAGGTTAGAAAGAAAAATAACATGGCAGCTAGAGAGTTTACTTACAAAAACAACACTTGGGAATGGGCTTGCAATGTAAAATCCTAAGCAGAAGAATCACCACAGTGGTATAAAATAGTTTAGCTTAGGGGATATACGATGTTGATTCTTACTAGACGTTTGTTTTAATGGCCAAGATAAAAAATGGAAGAGTACTACCATCTATAGCTACTAATTACGGCTAGGAAATGCAACAATGTGATGCAAGGCATACCTACATGGAGACCTTGAAAAAAAATTGTAAGATTTACATACATACCACACAATTCCTATGCATTTACATATCTAACACCCAAACTTCAAATTTTACATACATATCGCCTTAACTATGCATGAAGAGGTGTATTTCACATTTTAAAAGTTAAAATGGTGAAATTTTTAAATTGTTGACGGAAGGTGTGAAGATAAAGCAATGGTTATAACAACAGGAAAAACCCAAGAGCTTAATGAAGCCATTGAACCCATAAATTCATAAGAACATTCCATGAAAAACCAAAAAGGACTTGAAAGAAGGCAAATGGCTCTCCAAAGGACATACACACACCAAAGTTCCTTAAAGTTGATGATTATGAGCCCGAAAATATCATCTAAACATGACAAAATAAAAAGATTCCTACTTTACCAGCATAACAAAGTGATTTTCAATATAAAAATTTCTCCATACGATGATATCAAAGATGCAAGAAAATAGAATAACTAGGTTGAAGTATTGAATTTTTTTTTTAAAAAAAATTTATAAATATAGTCAAGCCTAAAAAGTAACATTTTCTTGACTAAAGTTGTCCTTAAATGCACCATTACAGTGGAATGCCAAGTCCAAAACGTTGCTTAGTAAAAAATGACATATTGCAGATTTAAAGAACGCTAGACATCCTATCACTCAAGTAGTTAAGTAGGTTTAGATAAAATCAAGACAAGGAGAATAGCAAACTGCACAAGCATGTATCATGAAATTACCAAGGCAAGCAAATTCACAAAATATCACTCAAGAAAAAACCTATTTTCATGAAATGTACAGTAAAGTCAGATAAAGGACCTAGGCAGGATTTAAAGCTATTCTTATTACAGGACATATCTTAGAGCCAACCTTCAGAAATCAAGATAAAGGATATCCACCACAAAATCAAAAATCATACCAACAAAAAAATGCTAGAGACTTCATCCCGAAACCCAAAGAGGTTTCCAAGATTAACTCACTAAAGCTACAAATGAAGTAATAGAATTACCTAATTTAGAAAAAAAAAATTATGATATTGATGAACCGTGACAAAAGCCAAGAAAAAGAGGAGCTCATCAAGCTGAACATTCACTATCAATACAATTGCAAATCTATGAGGGAAAAATATCACCAGTTATGAAATTGGGGCCCGACAAAATTCACATAACCTATGGTGAATGAGGAAGGGCAATGAGTTTAGATTTGTAAAACAATGCATCCTAAAATTTACCATAATTAGGCAATTCAAATAATAGGTCAAATGTAACGTGGCCACATGGATTAAAGAATAAAGAAAAACATTACATACTATGATATACTTAATATAGCTTATATTTGGGTTTGTTTACTACTTTTTAGGTTAGAAGAGCCAGAGAGTGTGTTGCGAGTCAAACAAGACAGAGCAAGCTACGAATCAGCAGAAAGCAGGCTACTGTAGCTAGTGTGGGGAAAGTTGCGCGTAGCGACTGTTGTTTAAGAAATAAGAGTGCACATTAGCCTGTAGCTAGGGGTGGGGAGAGTTGCGCGTAGGGACTGTTGTTTAAGAAATAAGAGTGCACATAATTGTTCAAGTGCCGTAGATAATGTATGTGTGTATAAGGCTGCAATGAGAATGTTAATAAGGAAAATAATTCCTTTAAATTAGTTCTATATGCTGCTTATTGTCTTGATTTGATATTTTGGAAGCTATAGCAGTTGCCATTGCATAAATATGCTTTGCTCATAGCATAAAATAGCAAGCAAGTTTATTTACAACCAATGAGATTGATGACAAAGTTCACAAATAAAAAAAAATTAGCTGCCCATCATTTACAGCATTTGTCACCAATTATTTATTGTGATAACTAGGCCAAGTATGATTCGAAAGAATGGGATAGAAGTTCATGAAAAAAAAATAAAAAATAAAAAATAAGTGAAGAGAATTATAAAGGGAGGCCATTCTTTTAAGCATGGTTTAACTCTATCTTAAGACCACAGATTTTAAGAATCGTTGATGATAAGAAGTCTTTAGAAATTAAATTCATCATTATAGCTATGAATAAAACATTAGAAAAAATAGCAGGAAAGTTAACATGATAAGAAGCTGTTCATAAAGAGATATAAGACATTACCGATTAAAATTAAGATTGTCCACAATCCAATAATTTTCATACAATTTCATATTACTTTAACTCTTCATTTCGTTATAACTAGAACTTCCTTATGAATAAGAAAAAAATTATTTGTACATAGATAAACTTGTCCCTGGCATGAAATATCTGAAGGAAATTGAACAACTTGAAGATTTCCATTTAAAGAACAGAATATTTTGATTCAGAGCAGCCCAATAATGTTACAAATATTCTCTCCTAGTAAAGTTACACGCAATTATAATTTTATAACTAAAATTTCATTTTTAAGCTTCCTAAATTTACATACATTAAATTATTAATCACCTTTTTAAAATTCTAATCTAAAATAGTGGGGGCACAATTTGAAGGAGACACATCTGAACTTAAAGCATTTATCTATAAAGTTCTCAATTTATCTATTTAGCTTTCACATATGAAAAAAACTGAAGTATGTTCACTAGGTGCATACAAAGAAGAGTAGTAGTCGATTGGAAGTAAAATGGATGACAAAGTTGGTTTATATTATGTCTAATAAGAAATTAAAAGACAAACAACTCAAGACACGTGAAAAAAATAACTAGTGATAATGAAGTTGATCATTTTATTTTTGATGATGTGCAATTTAATGACTAACGGGTAACATAAAAAATAATGAGAGATTTGAAGCTGAAGATGAATAAATTGTCTTGAGTGATGATGGGAATGAAAAGCTACTAAATTGGGTGCTCATAATCATTCAATATAAAGAAGAAAAGTGAGCTTTGAACATTAAAGAAGTAAAAAATAATAACTTAATTATAATGGATTATTTAGTTGTATTATTGAGTTTTTATTTTATGTAAAATTATATAAGATCCAATGTTAAATGATATATGAAATAATAAGAAAAATGCAATGATTGAAGAACGTTTGAAGATGACAATAATGTCGAATCAGAGGATAGTAAAATTATTATGATAATTCTTCTTAAGACGTTGAAAGTGAAGAAGAGTTCAATATAGATCTTTATCCTCAACACAAATTTAAATTTTAGGAGAATCCTTATCTTGAATTTTATTCCATGTTTTCACTTTATATTAATATTTACGATTGAGATTTGTAGCTTTTGTTTTTTTTTTTTACTATGTGATTTTAAGGTTCACGATAATGATATAAATATGTTGATGATTTATGATATATTTATAAATTATTTTTAATTTTATATTTCAATTTCAAGCCTATGCCACAATTAACCCCGAGGCTTACATCCAGTTTCATTAAGAAAAAATGCCTCAATTTTTATTTCACCTTTTAAGGTTTGGTAGTACTATTTGAAGTATATCACACAATCTTAAGCAAGTGATACATAAGCGAAAGGAATTGTGCACTTTCATAAAAAGGGAGTAAACTTGCAGTGCATTGGTTAATTCCATGGGCAAAGGATCTTAAGTCAGCAACAAAGCCAACTAAGTTGATCCGTACTTCCCAAAACGAAAAATGATTGCAACAAAAAGTCATAACAAGAGCCATCCTAAAAATCAATTTGAAGCCCAAAACGGTAGTTATGATTCAATAGGCTCTTGAAAAAAGAAAATAAACAGAATAAAATAAAATAGTTGTTGGAGATGCAGAGTATTATCTTGGCATGGAAGCGAGAATAGAGAGCAATTATAGAAAACACTAGTGTTTATTTTTTCCATTATTCTACATGCAAGGGGTTACCAAAGAAAAAAATATTAAATTAAAAAAATTTTCTGAAATGGAGGGAGGAAAAATGAGCTTAAAATTCAAGATATGAAAAATAAACAGTGCCTAAATATAAGAAACAATCCTAAAGCTTTCTTTAAAAAGTGATGGAAGATGATGGAAGAAGGAAATCAAAAACTCCTTAAAGTATAAAGATCATTATTCTAGGTTAGCATTTTCATCATTATCAATCTAAAAAGTAGATTTTTCTCTCTCGATCTCACAATTAATCACAATTAATCACAATTAATCCATAACTAAACAAATTTTGATCTACCCTCATGAACTATGGGTTAATGTTACATACTTGACTGCAAGGATTCACTATTTATATAAACCTTTCCGCATATCACTAAGCTTATCTAGACATTTTAATGACCAGGGCCACCTAATAAGCCCTGATTTTACAATAATCATCACGCCTCTCCCATCTAGAACTGAGAGTAGGTTCCACAGGAATCATCCTCACAGTTCTAGAGATCTTTAAGAAACGCTTGAATGGCCATCTGTAAAAATGCCAAATCACATAAATTCAGTGCAGCTGGTGTCAAAACCTAGATTATTATGAACAATCCTCAAAGGTATGAAAAGCAGTTTCTACTCAAGTAACCCCTTTACCATATAATTTCTCAAAATAATCGAACTGAAGAGCACCTTCGTCACGCATTATGAGATCGGAAGCAACAAACCAAACAAAACAATGTTCCAAAACAATTCTGCACGGCAATTTAAAAGAAAAAGAATGAGAGATCCAGACTGACCTTGTGATCTGAGATCTTCACCGGCACCAAGAAGAAGTCATTATCCACTTCTCTGAGGTCCTTAGTCCCAACTACAACATCCTTCTTCATCTTAGACACCTTCGGATCGCCATCAATGGCTTCCGTATCAAACCACCCCTCCGTAAAAAGCTTAACACATATATCACTTAGCTGAAACGCCTCAAAATGCACATCCGCCGCCCCGTCCTCGTTAACTTCGAGTTTCACCACGGCAGTCACCCACTCCGCGACGCCACCCTCGGCCCGCAGTTCCGCGGCCTGAAGAATCTCCCTTCTTGACATGGTGTATTCTCCCTTCCCCTCCCTCCCCACGGCTTGTGTGAACACAAACCCCACCCTTCTCATCCCCAGTCCCATCGCAATCGCTTCCACGAGCTTCTCCTCTTCCGGATCCCTCAAAAGTGTAAGGGCATCCTCCGTGCCCGCCTGCGGTGGCTCGTAGATGAAGTCGACCTCGACTGCACCTCCCTCACCGATGCTGCCATACATGAAGCCACCGCGCTTGATGGCGAATGCAAGGGTCTCGTTGACGTAGAGCTGGAATACATGGGCGGCATCGCGGTCAAACGAGGCCGATTCGCAGTGTGGGTTCTCCTGGCGAGATACGCGCATCTGACGGGCGATCAAATCGTCCATGGTCATCTTACGGCCAAAGGATCCGGCCGGGGTTACGGTGGCCGCACCAACAGGACCGGGAACGCTTCGCATTCCATCATAAGAAAGGAATACGAACGAACCATGAGAGATGCCGAGAGCGGCGAGCGGGGTGAAGGGATTTGTGAGGTCGGAGAGGGAGGCGGCCTCGTCCGGGGACTTGGCGATGAGGAGGTTGCGGTCGCGGGAGAGGATCTGGGAGGGAATGGGGACCCCGAGATGGGATTGGATTAGGTTTTTGAGGGTACCGACGGTGGCGGAATTTGGGTCTGGAATGGTGACACGCTCGAGTCCATCACGGCTGCGGACACGGACGATCATCCCGCCCGCGCCGGTAACCACGGC